TTTGTTATGATTTTGCTTGACTTAAATTATTTACTTTTATTTTAAAATGTTGATGATTTGTAGGTTAATAATAATGCTAAAGAGTGGATGACAAAACCAGTGTTGCATTATGATACATTTGTGATACTATTTGGAAATGATCAAGTTGCAGGTGAAAAGTCAGAGACTGCAAAAAAAATTAAAGAAAAAGCAATCATCCCAACATGATAATGAGCCTCACAACACCATTGAGGAAAATGATCATATGATGTCACAGAATCAGGTATCTTTGGATGGTTTTGGAACTAATGATATTGATTTTGATCGTTTAACATGTCTTGGAGGTCCTTCAAAGGTGCCAACTAGCTCAAAATCGAAAAAAATAAAAAAAGTCACAAGAAATTGAAAATGAAGCAATGGGCATTCAAGAAGATATCAACAATGTAGCTCGAGCTCATTCTGAAGGGAATTCACGTCCTCCACTTTTAGAGGCTGAAGTTTGAAATATGTTGGAGGATTTGGGATTTAACTCAGATCAAATTACCACTGCTTATTTATACCTACTTAAGCATCCAGATAAATTAAGAGCAGTACTAGGATGTCCACTTAGGAGACGCCTAGATATTGTTATAAGGGTTGTTTTTGGTACTTCTTAATCATTAAGTTCTTAGGCACAATTCGTAGCTTTATTTTTTAAATTTGACTAATCTAATTTGCATCAATTGGAATTTATGTTTGAATAATTTTTTGGGATGTGATTTTTATTAGTTATTTTATTTTATTGTTTGTTGGTATCATTGAGACTATATTGTAATAAAATTATTTACTTTTTATTTTTAGAATCATTTTTTACTGATTGTTTTATTTAATATTTATTTGTTAAATTTTTAATTTTATGTTTTTTTAATCAATAATTTTTTTCCTTTAATTTGCATTTATTAGTTTTTAATCCAAAGTCATACTATGACCCAAAAAAAACATATGGTAAGGTACTGGGCTTCTCTTGTGCTTGGTTTTGGTGGATAATGGATATTGGAGTGATTTAATGAAATGAACAAATTGGCAACAAGCAAAAACGAATACACAACCCTATTACAAGCTTAAAGGATAAATTTATAAATTTAAAATTAATTTAAATCATTCCCTTCCTTTCCTTCCTTTTACCTTAATTATCCAAACATAAAATAATACAATTATTCCCTTCCCTTCCCCTTCCTTGTTTTTATTTATCCAAACAAAATTAACACAAATCATTTCCTTCCATTTTCTTCCCTTCCCCTTCTTTTCCTCCCCCTCCATTTCCTTTTATTTTCCCCCATCCCCCTCCCTTCCCTTCCCTTTACTATTTTCTATCCAAACAAGGCGTAAATCACATGAACAACTTTTAAAGGAACAACCTTTGGTCAAATGTTCTAGAATAGCAAGACATCCTTCAATCTACCCTTATAGAGTTCATGCCCATTCTCCAGGATGCCGTGATTGGGAGATTGAAACAAGCGGCAGCCCTCTCCCAAATTCTTTGTTATTGGCTTAATGGCCACCAGATCTGAGAAAAACAAAACAAGAAACAAGAAACATAAAGAAAAGAAAACAAAACCACAAAAGGGGCCATAAAAGAAGTCAATAAACCACCCAAAGTGGTCATCGGACATAGGAGCACAATTGGCCAGCTCCACCATGCTTGAGAAGCCAAAGCGCTTCCAAGCATCAAAAGCTCAATAAGTCGAGAGGCTTCCGAGCACCAAAAGGAGACCAAAATTGTGGAAAGTTGTAGTCAGAAGATGGAGAGTTCTAGAGTAGAGAGAGAAGAAACTTTTAATTTTGGTTATTATTCTTAAGCATGAAAGTTTTGGTAACTTAAAACTGTTTTTTTTTTTTTTATTAAAGTAAGTTTTAACTTTCCAGTTCTAGTTCCTATACTTCTTATTTTCTGTTTCTAGTTTTCAAATTTTATGTTTATTTTCAAGTTTTTCCTTCGTTTTGTTTGTATATTTTTTCAATGTGATACCAAGTGATACTCTTTCCCACTCCAATTGAGCAAACTTGCCTACACCTGTTATTGGGAGTTGGGAATAGAAGTTTCAAATGATGCAATGGAAAACACACCTAACAATCTAACATGGGGTTGGGTAAAGTATGCAAAGAGGAAATATTTGAGCAAAGCCAAATCAATAACACTTTATTGTGGTAATTTGAAAAAGTGGCTTTCTCATGATCATCGTTAGGAAGACAACTCTTTCAAGCAAGATAGATGTGTTGTTTAACTTGTTGATGTGTACATCCGTTTCCTTCAACTGAATTTTGTAAGTCTAAAATTCTTATTTTTATGATTGGCAAAATTCTTAAATCTACCTTTTAAATATAAACATAAGGACAGATTTGTTCTAAAAAAATAGAAATAAATTATATATTTAAAATTTTAATTAAAATAAATTATTCATTATTTAACATATGATATTATCGCATGTCAATTTTTTATTAAAAAAGGTTTAGATGATAAATGAATTTTTTATATGTGATAATATTACATATTAAATAATAAATAATTTATTTTAATTAATAATTTAAATAAACAATTTATATCTATTTTTTGTTAGAAGTGGATTTCAAGATTTTACCCATGTGATATACATGCACTCTCTTTGTGTTAGAGTTGTCAATATGCATTAGGAAAACCAATAGATCGGAATAAAGAGTTGAGATTGTAAAGGTAATTAAATCGGTAGATTTGAGTAAATAGTTGAGATTTTAGAATTAATTATATCGTTTTTTACCTAAATTAATAAATCTAAAAAGTGTATAGTTATCTCGTGTTCGTATAATTCATTAAATATTTTTTGTTTAATGATCGATCTTTTTGATTTTAAGCCTTCATCGCCTGTTATCATCAATCGCCATCCTTATGTTCTCTTAATTTATTTTCTTATGACAACATATCATAACTTCACAAATCTCTTTCGCTTAGCTTTTACATTTCTTCAATTACAAGAAAGAAACTAATCATTCCCTGAAAATATTAAAGAAATAGGAAATTAATGTTTATCATTTGAACCTTAAAAGAATTTAAAATTAAGCTATGATGTTTTATTAAAATCTTATAAAAAAAATACTAAAAATAAATTTATTATAAA